CATTGATGACTAAGGGGGAGAAATTGTGTACAAAGATAGTGAAAAGACAACAAATGTGGAGAGAAATAAAGATATAAGTGATAGGGGAAAAATTGAGAAATATGACAAAGGAAAGGGATCAACTAAAATTTTGAGCACACAAGTAGGGGGAGCAAGCTCATGAACTTGTATGGTGCATTTGAATGTGCATTTCATATGTTTGCTTGCATGGCATAAGTTTTAAATTTCAATATCCATGCTTGTGTGGTGTATGCTAGTTGTAGGTTTGAATGATGAAATAAAAAACTACCATGCATAGGTTATCTAGAGATTTCATTTCCAAGTGGTATCGAGCTAACCATGGTGCTAAGGATGGTATATTGGTGCACTCCGATTGGTATCACGCTTCAAAGGTCCATCTTTTATACCTTAGCATCATTTGGTAGACATTGTCTCCTATATTTCCTATCTAAGCATATGTGCAAGCTACAATCCAAACTCTTAGCACATATAGGGGGAGCAATTGCTACCATATGGAGTTTATGAAACTTGTCCATATCCTTTTACACAGTAAAATGCTTGGACAAGCAACATGGATTCAATTGAATTTCAATTCATATCTTTGTGAAAGGGTTGTCATCAATTACCAAAAAGGGGGAGATTGAAAACTCTAGTTTGGTTTTGGTGAATTGATGAAACCCTAAGTGCTAACTTAGTTTATCAAGTGATCATGAGATAGGTAGCACATTCCAAGTGGTGAAGCAAATGAAGATCATGACATGATGATGGTGATGCCATGGTGATGATCAAGTGCTTGGACTTGAAAAGAAGAAAGAGAAAAACAAAAGGCTCAAGGCAAAGGTATAAATGGTAGAAGCCATTTTGTTTTGGTGATCGAGACACTTAGTGAGTGTGATCACATTTAGGATCGATAGCCATACTATTAAGAGAGGTGAAACTCGTATCGAAATGCGGTTATCAAAGTGCCACTAGATGCTCTAACTCATTGCATATGCATTTAGGATCTAGTGGAGTGCTAACACCCTTGAAAATGTTTGTGAAAATATGCTAACACATGTGCACAAGGTGATACACTTGGTGGTTGGCACATTTGAGCAAGGGTGAAGAAGATAGAGTTGAAAAGAAGTTAGTCACGCTGGTCACACAGTGACCGAACGCTGGGGTCCTGCATCCGGTTAATAGAAGTAGTGAAGATGCTGGCGTCGGTCTTCGATCGGACGCTGGGTCACAAAGTGACTGGACGCTGATGGGGTGCGTCCGGTCCGACTGACATGGCAACACACAGTGAAGAGGGTGGCTGACCGGACGCGTCCGATCATGAAAAATCATCTCTGGATGTTTACTGGAAATGACCGAACGCTGAGGTACTACGTCCGGTCACTTCGAAGCAGCACGTCCGGTCACAACTTAAATGTACTAATGACTATTGAGATTGGGCGATCAGCGTTTGAAGTAGGGGCCACGTGGCGTGCATCGCACGACTGGACGCTGAGGTTCAGCATTCGGTCAATCTGACCGGAGCGTCCAATCGCCCCGTGTTCAGTGCAGTGAGGAGCCCAATGGCTCTATTCATGGGGGCTCTCTATTTAAGACCCATGGCCGGCTCAAGCTCACTTTTTTGGCCATTTGCATTGACATAGCAACCTTATGAGCTTAGCCAAAGCCCTCCCACTCATCTCTATCATAGATTCATCATCTTTGTGAGATTGGGAGTGAATCCAAGTGCATTGCTTGAGTGTTTGCATCTAGAGGCACTTGGTGTTCGTGTTTCGCTGCTGGATTTGCTTGTTACTCTTGGTGGTTGCCGCCACCTAGATGTGATGAGGACATCGCCACGCTGGACACACCGACGCCATGGTCTTCCCCAAGTTGCAATTCGTTCCCAACTCAGCTGCCACGTCACCCTCGGATTCAGCAGACACGTTGTCACTGTTTCGGTCATAACTTCCTCATACGACATCGAAACGGGCCGTTCTTGGATGCGTTGGAAAGGGGACGACGACGCCGTCGTTTTGGATCTGGTCCCAGCTCTAGAAGGTCCGTGGATCATTCTGTGTGACCACGACAAGGTGCTGCGTCACCTATTTGGGCCAACTTGGCCATGTATCGTGTCGGGCCTTAAGCCCAAGTTGTGGGCGCCCAACCCCTGGCCGTCCCCAACCCTAGGTCGAGTCTTAGACTATAAACACAGCCGCCACCGCTGCTACACAATTGGGTTTTGTTTAGAGTTTAGTTTTCCATCGAGAAACTGAATCGTTCATTGTAACTGTGGTGACAAATCCTTTTACAGTGATCCAGGGCCCCCGTTCTTGATCTCCTCCACTGTGTCGATTAGTCCTTTGGAACCGAGTTCTTGAACCCTCTATTGATATTCGCGTCATTCATATTTGCAATTTCAGATTGTGTGTTTTACCTTCTTGCTTGTGCTCTTCGATTCGCTTGCAGGAAAAGCCTTCTTGGCGAGGTCAATCAAGTTGTGCTTGGTTGATAACCAACGGAGCGGTGGTGTAACGGTTGCAGGGTTCGAATTGTGTCTGATTTGAAGCCGGATCGCCAACGTCGAGATCTCCACAAATCGAACTTACCGGCTACCTCTCGGAAGATCGGGCCTGTACTTATCAAGATAGCTTGGAGCAGCGAGGATCGTCGAGCGGAGGTTGGTGATTGTCTCCGGCTCCGATCGTGGCGATTATGAGGGGTTCTTGACCTTTCCCCGGCGGAGAGCCAAAAGGTACTCTAGTGAATTGCTCGTGGCTTGTGTGATCCTCATCTTATGTTGGTTGTACGGCACCTTATTGAGGGTTTGACGTGTGATGCCAATTAGCACGTGAACCTCTAAGTGAGTGAATCGCCACAACGAGGACTCGCTTGCCGGCAAGCAAGTGAACCTCGGTAAAAAATCATTGTGTTCATCATTTGATTCCGACGTGATTGGTCTTCATTGGTATTCATTCTTGTGATTGATTGGTTCACTCCTCGACACGGTGGTATAAACAACTTGCTCACTCTCTTTACATTACCGCAAACTAGTTGCCAAGCTCTTTATTGTAGCTAGTTGTGAGAGCTTCTTAGTTTGGTTAGTATGGTTTTTTAGTTAGCTTTTGAGAGCACACTAACTTAGTGTAGTGCTATAGCCATTGCGTGGCTAGAGACAATAGAAACTAGAATTGTGGTAGGTGGCTTGCATTTTTGGTAGGCTAGCGTAACACTTGCTTCGCCTCATAATTATCTATCCGGTTTGTTAAGTGTTGTTGTAGAAATTTTTAATAGGCTATTCACCCCCGCTCTAGCCATTAGGACCTTTCAGGGTGACGACTTTACTCTTTCGTAGTTTACATGTAGGTGCAAAATGATCGAAGGGTAAAGGCAAACTTATCTACAGGACACTGAAAGTGACTCCTCTTTGTCAGCGGACACTCAAAATGGAGTAATTTGCTGGTGGACACTTTCGTTGTTGTTCAATTTGCTGCTAAACACCGCGGCCAATAAAATATTCAGCTTTTGAAGAGAGAGAACAGCGGGGAAATGTCCTTTTTGCCCCTGGCTCCATCTTCTTCCCCATCTCCACCTCCGCAGCTAAGCAGACCGCCGTAGGACCTCATAGTGCGCCGCGCTGTGTGCCTAGGTGCACTCGAGGGGCGGCAGTGCGTCCGCGAGCTCAACAACGACGCACGGTCCCATTCGGCTCCTCCCCGATCTGTTCTACGTGCTCGGCGAGCTCGCCTCCTTCTCCGGTGACGCCAACCAACGCCTAGCCGCGCATGAGCTCGTCGATCTAGGGTTCGAAGTCGGGCTTGGGGAGGTAGGAATGAAGCGTGGCCACATGTATGGCGATGCCGCGGCGAGCTCATGGCGGCGGTACTCGGCATTCTACGCGCGGCGGCGCAGGCCATGGCCAACGCCCACCGCGCGCGGGCTCTGGCGACCTATGGTGACACCAAAATGACAATGGAGGAGAGCGAAGGGAGACGGAGGTGTGCCAGCCACGCACGAGCTCTGCCCAACAACGCCAATGGCGGCGCGGCGGTGGCAATGGCTGTGGAGCTGCGGCGCGGCTAGGTGGGAGGAGGTCATGGAGCTGCTGCGTGGGAGTGGAATCGGAGTATGGCGCGACAACGACAACGAATTTGGTGGCGGCGGAGGTGGTGTTGGTGGCGGCATGCTTCTCCGTGGGTGCAGACAGAGAGGGAGGGGAAATGGGTCGAGCAGAGCAGGGCAGCCGCAGCCGCCGCCGCCGCCCCGCGGGCTAGCCCGACCTCGCCGAGGCCCCTCCTTGTGCGCGTGCTGCTGTACAGCAGAGCCGCGCGGCGTCCTATGTCCAGCAACAAATTTATGAATAACCAGAGTGTCCTCCAGTGAATCGATCTATTTTGGGTATCCAGCAGCAAAGGGTGGTTACTTTCGGTGTGCAACTGCCAATTTTTCCAAGGGTAAAAGTGTCCTTTCAGGTGTGAAATGATATAAAAAAGAGATGGAATGGCATGGAAATTATAGATCACATGGGGTCCTATTTTTATGAAGTTAATGCTACACACGGTAAAACTGGCAAGCGTAATATTTGGAGTAGCAAATATCCAAATTTCTTAAAGCTGGAGATACTTTCCAAGCGCGTCCTAATTTTTTGGATTGCCGGAAAATGAAATGTGAGGGATTAGTCACTTCTGAAACAGCCGGGCTTCCCGCTTCCGTGACGTAAAGAAGCAACGAACAAGCAAAAGAAAAAAATGGATATGCTGTGCGCGCACAGCACATTTCCTTTTTCTGAAAAAAGAAAACAAAAAAGGAGGCACAATAAATGGCGTCAAAGCCACGGGCCTTCGCGAAGGTCTTCCTCCCCGCGCTCCCGCCGCCGCCCATCCTTACTGCCCCCGTCTTCTCGCGGTAGGTGGGTCATCGGTCCCTCACCTCCCATCCGCCTCCTCTTCCCGCAGCGGATCTGCTAACCGAATCCATCCGTCCAACGCAGCCGGCCGACGACTCGGGGTGCCGGCGCGGCGGCGATGTCGGCGGCGGCGGCGGCGCCAGCGCAGGCTCCAAGGAAATGGGAGGGACTAGTGGACGAGGCGCTCGAGAGGGAGGTGCTGGGAGCGTGCCTGGACCAGGCCCCCGAGCGCCGCCGCATCCGCGAGGCTTTCAAGAACGTGCAGCTCAGCATCGACCATTGCCTCTTCAAGGTCAACCGCTACCTCCTATTTTGCCTATCTGCTTAGAACCCAGATAAAGATGCCATTTTTTTTTCTGGTGTTCCAGAAATGCTGTTCGTTCTTTTTATCGGTTCTTCGTACTTACTTAGTGACGTGCCAGAATAGGATTGGTTAGGCAAGATAATTTTTTTAGACGATTTCTACTTAGACGAAGAAAGGAAAACAAGGCAAGTGGCCGCCCAGTTTTTTGAATGAAAATTGGGCCCAAAAACCATACAACTGTGGGGGCAGTGTTCCACTCACCCTATACAACTTTGGTACAACAACCGGGCAACTCACAAAACTCACACCACTACTTGCTCCAACTTGGTTGAATCGACCCAACTAAACAACTCAAACTAACAACTAACAAGGACAGCAGAAGTCGTGTGACACCAAACAACATAGCTTGGGGCACCCCCATGGCCAGACGACAAAGAGCATCCGTGGAACTGGAAAGCCTAACAATGCCTCCAAGGAGGAAACGACGCTAAAAGTGCCGACAAGGTAGCCCGCCAAGGGAAGATTTTTACTTGCAACATCTAGTACGGTAGTAGGAGAGGTAGGAAAGGACGCTTCCAAGAAGGGAACGACGTCCGCAGACGTCGTCGTCCAAGCTTTCACCCCCACCTCAAGCAACCTCCATATTGTCACCTCCGGAGACCGAACCCTACCAGGGAGGTAGGGTGCGGCGATGGATCAGCAGCAGCCCCGCCCGGCGGCCGCCCCTAGAGACGCCGGCCAGGAGAAGCGTCGGGAGGAGCCCGTCAGAGAGTCCACCGCCCGCCGGAACCAGCACAGTCGGCCAGCAGCAGGCAGATCCGGCCAGCTCCGCCACAGAAGACAGCCTGAGGAAGGGGGATGGCAGATGGCAGGGAGAAGAGGGCCAGGATCAGAAGAAGCCCCAGTCGCCCAGCCCACCATCGTCCCAACCCCTGCCGAGCCGGCCTCGCATCAACCACGCCGCGCAAGACCTCCAGCAACCTCCGCTGGCCCCACGCCGCCCACTCTGCCATGCCGCACAGCCACTAGGAGCTGCCGTCGCCTCGTCGCTGCCGACCACGACCTAGGAGCTACTGCCGCAGGGGCCGCCCCTGCTCGCCATGGCCGACACTCCTCAGCCACTGAAGCTGCCGCCACCGGGAGCAGCTGCCTCACCGCACGGATCCAGCCAAGAGCACCGGCTCCAACAGCTGGAGGCCCGGAACCAGCGCCCTGCCGAGTCGTAGACAAGCCTGGCTGCGTGACCGCTGGGACCTCCCACGCCACCACCAGATGGAGAGCAGCCCGCACGGATCCGGCCCTGGGGATACCGGATCCGTCCACCAGCACACCAGATCCACCATCCCTGGGCCACCGTCGCCGGGCACCCGAGCACCGGCTGCCAGGCCTGTGGATCCGGCTGCTAGCACTTGGATCTCGCAGCCCTCGCACAGATCCGGCCACCACACCGCCATGGGAGCACAGCAGCATGACCCTGCGTTCGTGGCCGAGCTGTAGGAGCCACCGACGGAAGCCACCAACCAGAGCAACTCGAACTCGCGTCCGCGCCGCGGCGAGCAACCATGGCGCAGCGCAGACTTGAGGGCGGGATGGCCCCGCCGCCACCCTCCTTGCTGCCCTCCGGGCACTCGGCCAGCAGCTCCGGTGGCGGTGAGGTCGAGGTCGACGGCGCGGGGGCCTGGAGATGAGGAGCGGGGCGACCGCCTGAGCCGCCCGACTTGGGCGACGCGGGGGCATTTTAGTCATGTACCCACTGGAAAAATCAAATGCATTAATTTTTATTATGTTAGGCAAGATAATACAAGTGCTGTTTTCATGCGTTATTGTCTACTAGTTCAGCGAATAGAGTAACAAGCTGCAATAGAAACCTGTCTTTGGAATAAAGGGTTTCGTTTTTATGAATCACAAACTTCTGGCCTTTCATCAAAAAGTTGTCTAGGCAAAGCATGTGTTACGAATTGGTTGGAGGTGTGGGTATGGGTACTACTGTACATTATTGTTTTTTTGCTTTTAAATCTCCAGTGCAATGGTTTTGTAGAATATAAATAAACTCTGCAATAATATCTTTTTTCACTCATCTCGCTTCAAATGATGGCATAGAAAACACGCTTTATGATTTCTCATGCTATGGATGATCTCTCTCACTTGCATTCGGATTATGATGCAGGGACAATATAGTGGCATCGGAACAAAGGAGGTACTATATCTTAAATTCTATGATTTCTTCATGACAGTTGATCCCTCAACTTCTACTGCAACACATAAATTTATTTCATGCATTTCTATACAAGGTTATTTATGCCATAGAGTTGATCCCTTGTTTTCTTTCTAATGAGTGCACACTGTATGTTGGAGAAATATTTGAATGTTTTACTCTATGTAAGTTAGGTGTATTTATTTAATTGAATTGAGCGAATGCTCACCGTGTTGAAATATTGGATAGTTGCAGTATTTGTTTTTAAAAAAATTAGTGCAGGGCACTGTAATGTTGAAATTCACATGGCATGTCCAATAGTACATTAGTTTCTCCTTTGCTTTGGTAGGTGTTTTGCTGTGAGTGATGAACCTTGAGGAGTTGGTTATTTTATAGATCATTTTTCCTTGTCTGGAAGATATTTTAAGATGGTAATATGCTATGCAAAAATGTCAGTTTGCTCAATGGTATTCCTGACTCTGAAAGCATAATGAAACACCATTTAGTTCTTCTCTGTTTAGAATTTTGTGCCAGCTTGTTGATTAATCCTATACCTTTGGAATCTTTCTCTTCTACAGTCATATGAGCGTAACTCTAGGGGGGTGGAGATTTTCTCAAAATGCTGGTTTCCGGAGAATCGTCGCATGAGAGCAATTGTTTGTCTTTGCCATGGTTATGGAGACACATGTACCTTTTTCCTTGATGGTTAGCTTTTCCTCTTTGATGCTACTTATCCTAAGGTTTGTATGATATAGTAATATGTTGCTGCTTTTTGCATATTTTTTAATGATTGTTTTTATTTTAGGAGTTGCTAGGAAGATTGCTTCAGCTGGATATGGAGTATTTGCACTGGACTACCCTGGCTTCGGTCTTTCAGAAGGACTTCATGGATATATTCCAAGTTTTGATACTCTTGTTGATGATGTAGCTGAACACTTTTCTAAGGTCAAAGGTATTCTTCCATTACATTCTTGCTGGTTTCTCATGCTATCTCTTTTATGTACATGATTTTGAAATACGTTTAGTCCTTATGCGAAAAGTTTCCTAACTTATTAAAGATTATCATTTGTGTATAATAGCCCTGTTTTTTGGGTAGGAAATCCTGAATATAGAGGCCTCCCGAGCTTTCTGTTTGGTCAATCTATGGGTGGAGCAGTTGCATTGAAGGTTCACTTCAAGCAACCAAATGAATGGAATGGTGCAATACTGGTTGCACCCATGTGCAAGGTAGTTTTATCTTTGTGGAATGTTATATATACTAGTTAATGCCTTCCCACTTATTCACAAACTCATTTCAATAGATAGCAGACGATGTGGTTCCACCTTGGCCCATTCAGCAAATTCTAATTTTTATGGCCAAACTTCTGCCAAAAGAAAAGCTTGTTCCTCAAAAGGATTTAGCTGAGTTGGCATTCAAAGAGAAGAAGAAACAAGAGCAGGTCACTATCTTTCACACTGGATTTTCTGGAACTAAAATTTGATTCTCTCATTTAGTTAATATTTCCTTATTTATTTCCATTTCGACTGCGTTGTACATTCTTTGACACAATTGTTCAAGGCATATATATTTGTAAAATAATGTGAAAAAACAGTATGGTCTGTTTAATATTGCTTCATGCTCCAGGTGAAAGTAGTATGCATTCGCATCTTCTCCGGTGATAATTAGAATAAATAGTTTTGGCATACAGGTGAATTTTATGGTTTTACTGCTGCTTGTAGTTTTATCTTCCCTTATAACCCTAGAGTATGTACGAAGATGCATTTGAAAAGCAGGCCCTGTTAGTTCCTTTTCTTTTGATTGTGGGCTTGAAATACTATTTGGTTGAAAGAGAAATAAGTTTATTTCTTTTGAAAATTTATTTATTAGATCATTGCCAATCTTAGCTATTCATTGTGATTAGAATGTACTTATTAGTTCACTATCCAATGCAGTGTTCTTTCAATGTGATTGCCTACAAGGATAAACCACGTTTGCGAACAGCTCTGGAGATGCTGAAAACGACACAAGAGATAGAAAGGCGTCTGGAAGAGGTATGTGTCTCCACTTTTGTTATCTCCAGTGGTCTATTTTTAGGTATAAAAATATAGATTCGTGGATGGTCTATTTTTGTATTCTGCAGCTGTCATTACTTTTGGTTGGATCCTGCTTCATGTTGCACAGGTTTCTTTGCCCTTGATCGTCTTGCACGGTGAGGCTGATTTGGTTACTGACCCAGCGGTTAGTAAGGCTCTGTATGAGAAAGCTAAGAGCCAAGACAAGAAGCTGTGCCTCTACAAAGGTGCATATCACGCTATCTTGGAAGGTGAACCGGACGAGACAATATTCCAAGTTCTCGATGATATCATATCTTGGCTCGATCAGCACTCCACAAGAGAAGAAGGTATGTCGTCATGAATTGGGCAGCGCTGTTCGCCAGGATTTGATGAATTCCTTTGGCAATGCTGTGTCGTTTCCAGTTAGGGATCCCAGATTTAACGGTTTAGAATTCCATTTTTGATATGACCCTGTAAAATTCTTGGTTCTGATTATTGATGTGTCCATCACGTATCTGAACGATGTAGATGTACATATATATAACTGATCAATGTGTATTTATTTACCACGAATTATTTGGGAAAACCTCAGTTACAAAACGCCCTTTATTTTTTATATATTTTCCGATGCTTTCCGTTAGATGGGGAGTTTTGTGGTATCTTAGTGTTTTGCAATACCCAATAACTAGAAATCTGACGTGTGTCGTGTCCAAAGCATTAGCTCGTGGCAGTGTTTCTCTTTCCCGTGCCGATGCCATGATCTGCAAGTTGATTCTGGGCCTCGATGATTTTTTTGGGAACTGGGCCTGGATGATTTGAAGACGACTGCGCGTTCAACGATGGGGCACAGTCATTACGGGTGTCGCTGGGAGCCTGCGAGGCCACGAGGAGCTGTAATCATGGAGTTAGGCGTTCTGAGTGCAAACAGCTTTGCAGTTTGAGACAATCGTTGGTTTAGTTTTGAGTTTTTAAATAAATGGCACAAATTTGTAATACCTGCATAAACCGTTGCTTGTCTTAAGTGCGAACGGTTGATACGTGTCCTTGTATGTCGAATTTGTGATGAGTGATTGTCAGAAGATGGTCGGTTTTGGTTGAGTTTGGAGATTAACCATGGCATGAGTACGTGTGTGTAATATGTGTCTTGGCTGTATTGGTGCAGGTGCGGAGCACAGAGACGGTCGACGGGCATGGTGAAAGTCAAGGAGAGACAGACCGTGTCGATGGATGAGGAGCAGTGAAGAATAGACATGAGGTTTGGACCGAGTGATCAAGATGTCCGGAAGACTAACCGTAGTGGGTGACACTTGGGACATTAACAAGCAAAAGCACATGAAGAGTAGACCATGTTGACTAAGTTAAGGCGGTGGTTGACCAAGTCAAGCGGAGGCGCAAGAGGACTTGGTGATCGGGTGGTTGAGGACGACGGTGACATGTGTTGACATCGTGCTGAAGGCGTAGCGGTTTCTCCAAGCGGTTTGGTGGTTTGGGCCTCAAAATCACCAGCGGACGGTTTCTCAGGTTCGGGCCTCAAAACCCGGTTAGAGTTCTAGCGGGAATGGGAGGAGGCACGTAGTGTCATTGCGAAGCTTGCGTCGATGCGAAGCAAAGTCGTAAAGAGCTCGTGGCCATCGGATGCTTGGATCTTAAGTTAGACCATTTTGCCCCTGGGTTAAGTGGTTCAGCTAAAATATCTAAATGCGTTTGTTGATAATTTGTAAAAACTCTATAAATAAGCTCCTGACCAGCCCATCTCTCTAGTTGTCATTCTCTGGTTTCCCTGCCTCTAGTTCCTAGTTTCTGCTATTGAGATCCATAGTTCAGGTGACCGATACACTGTTTTTGTTTTTATTTTTCTGCAAATATTTCCTCTGTAAGAACTAGACCTGGTTGATCCTGAGCAATAAAAAAATCATGTGCTCTGAGATCTGAGTCTATGTTCTAAAATGATTTGATTTGGTTTTTCCCTTCTCTTTCTTTGCCCTCTTCATGTTTTGGTTGATCTTGTGTATGTTCCTGAGGTTTTGGGGTTGAATTGTTGGGTTGAATTCATGCGAGGACCAGATGAACTTCCCTGCCAAGTGAATCAGGCAGATTCATCACGAGCATGATTTTTCGTCCTTGGGAGGATTTTTGGAGAAAACCCCAACTCCCTTGATGGATTTCAAGATTAGCAGTGTTTTTGTTGTTTGTATCATTTGATTCTTTGGGATATCATCTAATAGACCTAAGAATCGTTGCTGCAAAGTGTGAGAATTTTTAGAGCAAGTTTGTATCGATTTCATATTTTGGAGAGGTGTTTTGGGGGTCTGAAACATCAAAACTGGCTCAGCCACCCCTCCAAACCAGCCAAGTCGGTTCAACCTCTCCAGCCGATCACAGGAACTGTGCAACCACCCAGATAGCCATCTAGGCTGAGTCACAGCCGGCCAGGCCACCCAGGCAACCGGCCAGGCCAATCCTCTAGGCCACCAGACACCAGCCAAGCCGCTCCAGCCGGCCAGGCCGG